AAGATCCTGAGCTAATGCAATATGCGCGACGATATCGATTACGCTTATTGGGCGGCGTTGCAGCACCACTTGATAATCCAAAAGACTTTAAAGGTAGAATGTACTCTTTTATTTCATTGCCTGATACCACAAATCTGCCTGTTCATCTTAACGGAACTTGGGCCCAAGGCTCAGATCGTGCAATGTTACTAATCGAAAAAAATGACATACCGGACTTGGATCATCTGAAACTTAATTGGAACAGGCATATTCTGCTAAATTTCTTGCCAAAACTTCATTGCAAGCTACTATTAGAAGCTTTCAAATTAAAAATTAACGATACTATCTCAAAGTTTTGGCCTTTTCCGTCCACAAGTAATCCAAAATACGCAGTTGAATACGGTTTTAAAGTGCTTAAGCATATGTTTCAAAATGAAAACATCTTGATTAACGACGGTAGCATTGAAAACAATGTAAATAACCGCGTGGAAATTTTTTTCAAGCATTTATCGATTCAACGAATTGAAGAACTCCGCACCTTACTACTTCCAAAATACTTTTTGGGAATGGGTAATTATCTCCGTAATAAATTGTATATATAATTGTAATAAAAATTATTGTTTAACATCAAGATTTCTGTTTTTGAATTGAGTGACATCGGATGACGAGTTAAAATCACTAGTTCGCTTATTTCCTATTTGGGAACATTACTCGAATTCAGATTCGGGAAAGCTTTTAAAACCAGCTTCATGCGGATTTCTTTTACATAGTGGAATACGGTGGTATAAAACAAGAACGTCCATAAGTTTTATATGTTATTCTCCATACGACACCATTTCAACCTTTGTCGGTCTCAATGTTCCCTATCGAGACACCAATTCGTATACTTTCGAGGATGTTGAATTTCCTAGGGAATGCAATGAATCTTACGTATACTTCCTATTTAGCGTACTTGTTGATAATCGAGTTGTTCAAGGATTAAGAGATAGACGTTGTTTTCCCAATTCTTATACGAAGTGTTTAAAGAATATAACCGATCTATTCGACCCTAACAACCATGTATTTCGGACCGTATTTGGTGGAAACGGAAACACGGACGTCTTTCTTCATTCCGGTCTATTAGAACGCGCTGGGATTTTATCAAGTATTGGATTCAATAATACAGTGAATCAATCAGCATTCAATAAGTGCGCTGATAAGATCGAGGAGTTACAAAATGAGCTGGAACCTCCAACTGACTTAATCTATCGAGGCTTTACATTGGTTGATCATCTCTATAAAAATATTAACGTTTTTAACTTAGAAAGCATCAGAAGAGTTCCAATTTTCCCAATTGCTAAAAGCTTGGGTAAACCTCACGACCTATACTATCATCACAATCAAAATTTTGGTTGCTTGAAAGACGTAATCCTTCCTCAGTATAGAGATGTCGCGTGGAGTCAAATGCCCTTGATCGCGGAAAATGTCATACCGCCTCCACACGTAATCCAAAAACATCCATCATTCGGAAAACCAAATGTTTCTACTGTAGTCAAACATCTCCGTTTCTTGTATCATGTCCTCCGTATTAATGATGAATGGAAGAATTCTTGGGCTGAAATATTTAAGCATAATGTTTTTGAGGTTTATAAATGGCTCGAAGAAGAATCTTTAAAGGAGGATATTGGTTTGACTATTTACATTCGTTCAAATGATCCATTATTCCTTAATTTTAACATGGATCAAGATCCGTTTAACCGCGATAATTGGGTTACAGCAAATGATTTAGTTTTAAACCGTGAACTGGGTGAAGAGAAATATGTTGATCCAAGACTTGCCAAGTATCCTACTATGCTCAAAAATGCTGGTGTCAAAGAAATAAAGCCGCCTAATTTTGAAATACGGATCAGTCAACACGACCAATCAAATATTAACAGACTTAGATCATTTGAATTTCTATTAGATCAGTCATCTCCCTTGAACGACATCACCTTTAGCGTGAATGGTGAGAATATAAAGACAAGTCGGTATATGCTTGCTTCAAGCTCGAAATTCTTTCATAGGAAATTTACAGCAGATCCAACTAGTCCAATTACGATCACTGTCGGAGATATTCAACCAAACTCTATGCGCATCTTATTACGCTATCTGTACAGTCAGGATATCGACGATGCAATTCAAAATAAAAATTCGATTAATATTAGGAATAATAGGGTTGTGCATGATATTAATCGATCCTCAAATTTATCGTTATATAAAGACCTGCTCAAATTGGCGGATGATTATGAGTTGGATCATTTGAAAGAACAGATGGAATTTAGGATCTCGCGATTAATTAAAATGTCTAATGCGACAACTATGAAAACTTTTGCAGAAACTTTGAGGGCTAAGCAGCTCAAACAATATTGCGATCATTATATTCGCGATAATAGTGGCTTGTAATAAAGGTTTGTTAAAATAATAACATTATCCCATATATTTATTCTCTGTTCATATTTAAGACATTTTTTTCTATAAATAAAGTTTTAAAATTTTATCATGCAAAAAAGTCTCCATCACTTGATTACTTGTTTAAATTGCGTATTCTTCTTGAGGTAGAATGTCATTATTAATAAATAATTTTATATACAGTATATACAATTCAAGAAATTCAATGAGGGTATATATGTACTAGTTATTTCACGGGAATCCATAGATATCATTACTTATCACGACGTAGCCGTGATGATAATGAGATCGAGGATGATCCGTGAAATAACTATTTTATCTCAGGGAATTTCTAATTATAAGCTCAAATAAACTCAACCCATTTCACCGTGAAAAAATATCATTAAAAAAATCATCGGCGTTAATTAGGAAACCATGAGATAAACGTTTTATTCTGACATCCCGGAATATTTCTAATTTGATATCATTATAATATTATATTTATTTGATGACGTAATTAGTAAATATGCATAAATTAATATGATAAATATAATTGGTAAACTTTAAATAAATTTGACATTTCAATATAAAATTAAAGGCCGAAAAAATAAAACCCTTTATTCCTTTGGAGGAAATTTAATATTAGATAACAAAAATTTGAATTCATATTTGCATCACAAAATTTTATACTGAGTTTCTTCTTACCCATATAACTTTGGTATATTCGTGAACTACAACTTCAGTACATATAATATAAAATCGAGAGGATCTAATTAATAATAAAGAGAATAAATAATTATAAAATATTTCAGTAAAGAGAGAGAAGGAACATGACTGACCACCCGAATTCAAGTGACATAAATTTTATGCTAGGACCGCACTTCCTATAGATAAGAAGCCATATATGATGACCGCGTCTAAAATACAAACTAAACCCTACCCCAAGGATTGTCTTCTTTATTCAGACTGGCAATGATGACCGTTATTTTAAATAAGTACTATTATGAAAGAAAAATAATTATAAAACATTTTATTATTTCTACTAAGTAAAAAGAGAAATGGAACACGACTCAGAATTCATCAGTGTTGGTATATGACATCATATGACTATATGACTTACATGATTTGTCATTTGTCATTTGTCATTTATAAATATTTATGACCTTATGATATTGTCATATAAT